TACCTAAACTAATAAATTCATCCTTAAAGATTTGTTAAAAAAGAATCAAAGTAATACATATAATCTTTTTGGTTCTTCATTTGGTGGAATTGTAGCATATGAAATGGGATGCAAATTGGTTAAACAAGGAAAATCCGTGAATTTAATCATGGTAGATACACCAACTGGTCAAGACATGACAAATTCAACGATAAGTGTAGCAGAAATTTTACATTATATTTATTCCAAAACATATAATTTAGATGAATTGATTGGAATGGATGATGATGAGAAAGCATTGCAGATAGCCATCGAAAAGGCATCAACATTGGATACGAAACAAAATCAAGTAATTATCCCAGAAGGCTTTGCGATAACAATGTTAAAAAGATATTTTGATGTGATTAAATTTAATATAAAAGCAATGAAAACATATCAATTGCCAAGATCCGAAAAACCGATACCAATTATATATTTCAAAGCAAAGATAAGGAACAATTTAGATCTTGAATTTCCAGAAAAATCTTGGATTAAAATACAAGAAATTAATGGGGGAAAGTTGGATTGTATTGAATTGGATGGGGATCATATTAGTGTGAATTTATATCCGGCATGTAAAACAATTACTGATTATATCAAACAATATTTTAAATCTAATTATCATCATTCTAAAGAGAGAATTAATTAGGGTGATATTGGTATTTTTTATTTTTATTTTTATTTTAATTATTATCAATAAATTTTAGTATGAATATATCCTGTCTCATGAATTCTCTATAAATTCGTGAGATATCTTAATTTTTCAGGCAAGATCTCGAACTTTTGTTCTTAAAAACTTATAAAGACTTCCATGTTGACACATTGAAATATCATTTCACTCAATGAGTCGGAGGCAAAATTTTAATTAGTCGGAAATTAAATAAATTAGTCAAGGAGGTTACCACTTCGATGAAAAAAGTCTGGAGGTGCAGACCATCTTTTTTTTTCATAGAGTTGCTCTGATTGGTTAAAATTCAAAACCGCATTTCGCAAAATGAAATTTTAGCAAGTCGTCCTTCGGTTTACTACATTAACCACTCAATTGATCGCAATGATTTGAGCAACATCCCTATCACTAGCTAATCACACCCTAAGTATTCATTTGTTTTTGTGTTTTGAGTTAATTCACGTATTTTAAGCCTACTACCAAACTAGGGATGGATCAGTCTCTCCTGGTCAATAAGATGGTCCATTAATGTTTTTCAGTCCAATCTAAATCATATAACGTCGATAATTGAAAATAAAAGATTATGTAACATACTCTTTAATAATTTTGATTAGCTATTTTAGCTATTCATGAGAACCGGTCCAGACTGATCTCAAGACCGAGAACAAAATAATCATAAGATCGGTTAAAAAGATCGGGTTTTCCATCCCTATACCGAATCGTGTACATTTCATATTGTCAAATCATATTCTAGCTATAACAAAAGAAAGAACTACAACATCATTTGGTTGAAAGGTTGAAAATCGTTGGTAGCTCACCCACAAAACATTTTCCAGGACGTGATTTTTAGCCAATTAGATCGATGGATCAGGTATAAACTTATCAGTGTTGGGCTCGCTTATAAGTCCAGTAAAATTGAACTGGAACTGGGCTTATAGGTCCAGTGGTCCAGTTTATAAGTCCAGTGGTCCAGTTTATAAGTCCAGTAGTCCAGTTTATAAGTCCAGTAGTCCAGTTTATAAGTCCAGTAGAGCGGACTTTTGTCCAGAGCCCAACACTAGGTATAACGTAAAAATCAAAACAATAGAATTACGCGAAAGTCTAAACAAAATTTTGAGTTATTAGCGATTTTTGAAACAAAAACAAATTACGTGATTTTCACGTTACACCGATCCTTCGTTCAGAAAATTTTTTGTGGGTGAGAATGTTTATTGACGATCTAAGCATGCTTGACCAATCAAAATTAGCATACCTGTAAACATTTTTTTAAAAAAATTTGAACGAAGTTTTCTCGATAATTACTTGACCAAATTCAATGAAATTTTTTTTATTTTAATTCTACGAATATGTAGGATTAAAAAAAAAAAATCATCGAATTTATTAGGTAGTTATCGAGAAACTTTGCTTAATTTTAGAAAGAACTGATTCGTCTATCAATAAAGTGGTTCTAAATTGTTTAAACTTTGAGAGAAGTTTTCTCGATAATTTTTTTTTTATTTTACAGTATTTCTCCACATTCGTATAATTAAAATATTTAATTTTTTTTTTTGTTAATCTAAATTAATAGACTGAAGTTTCGTGTAGCAAAGTCTTTAATTTCTAAGGCTTTCTTGAAAAAGCATTTTACTTGTTCGGATGATTTCAAGTTCAT